ACTATTTTCTATTGGATTCACTTAGTCCAAATGAACTTACTAAACTCAACTCAATGAGTTTCATAATTTCATTTGGATCGTGGGAAGACTCGTTAGCAACCGTAGGTTACCTCCTTTCGAGGGATTCTCAATCATCCGATAGAGATGTCTTAATTTAGTCGAAGTAATAGTTTTGTATGATGTTTGTGATTAAATTTTGAGTTGTTTTATATTTTGAATGTTATAGGGGTGAATTTTATCTTTATCTTGGTTTATTTTAGCTTTTGTTTTGGTTTTGGTTTTGTGGCTATCCTGATATTTTTAGTTTTCACGCAGGGTGGCATCATTGTTTAGCATGCAAGTTTGAAGGTATGAAAGCACAGTATGAAAAACATAGCATCAAAGTACAAGAAAGGCAATGCTGAAAACTATAAAAGCGTACTTGACGAGTCTTCTCGTTTCACCACTTGAAACTCAAAAGGCATGTTAAGGCAGTTTAAATGAAATAGGGAAGTAAAATTTTAGTAGTTTTCCTAACCCTATGTCATATCTTTGTGGGTCCTTATGAGTTTAATTAAGGATACTGTTGTCAAGCAAAACATATTAAGTTCAGTAGATCTCTGAGGTATCCAACAGATCTAGAGAAAGGAGCAGGTCCGTGCTACTCTCTCGCTGCCTGGTGGAAATTCTCGAGTTATTTTAAACTTATTATTTTGCCTAAAAATTCATCCTATAAAACACCCTAATTCTCAATGAACACTGATGTCTCAATTATCCCTAAGAATAGGGTAATTATCACTTGTGATTCAATTTAAGAATTATGTGGGTGAAGATCTTTAAAGAGGCAAGTTAGTGCTGTTGGAACACTTAGCCAAATTTTAACCCTAATTGGGCTTGTAGTGTTTGAAAGATATTTTAATTTTCAATGATGTTTACTTTTCTAATCCTCATTTAAATGAAACTTGATTTAGCCTAAGTCACTACTAAGCTCTTCAGACCTAGGTGAGTGTCTTAATTAGTTTTGAAAAGGTTTTAGGTGATCATGGTTCATGATTTGGATTTTATTTGAACATCAAAATAGGGGTATTAAATTGATTAACTATTGAATTCAAAAGTCAAACCCCTAAGTCCTAGATTCATTTTATTTTAATAAACTTCCAAATTTTAATAATTTAGAAATTTATTAACTTATCTTTTTCAAATAAAAAAGTGAGATTGGTTTCTACAAATTAATCCCTTGTGTTTCAAACACCAAATAAATCGATTAAGATCAGAGGTTACCCATTTCCCTCCTTAAATTAAGCCTAAATGTTAATTAAGGCTAATTTTCCAAAATTACACATTTCCCCTAAGGCTCTATCACTTCATAATTTGTTAAATTCAATTCAAATGACTTTAAAATTTTTATCCTACCTCATTCATGGGTCAAGTAAGACATCAGAGGAAAAAAATGTGATTTTTCAAAATTTAATTTAATTTATATAATTATTTTCATGCAAAAATAGGATTTTTCAAAGAAAATTCCTAACTTGACCAAGGTAAGTCCTAATCCCTTGAAATTTGTGCTGGAGGTAACTGTAGACCAGAGAAGCCTTTGGCCAAATAGGATTTTTTGAATTTTATTTGAATTTTAAGAATTATTTTAAGTTATGGGGTATTTATTAATTATCAAATATTTTAAATAGATAAAATTAAGCTTTGCATTTTTGAAAGATCTCCCTGAGGTCACAAAACCTAGGGAAGCAAATTTCATCTTTTCTGATTTTTTTTATTTGTTGGAATTATTTTAGTGGAAATCCATTTTTTAGCCTTTAAAAATTATTTTAAGCTTCAAAATACCATATCTTTATTTAGAGAACATGAAAAATATCACAATTGTTTCTAAGTGCTTAGAAAATAATTTAGAACATTTCCATGAATTTTATTATTTTTGTGATTTTTATGAATTTTTAATTATTTTAAATATTTTTAAAAATAGGCTAAAAATGAAGCTTTTATTTTAAATACCATTTTATTTTTATAAAATACCCCTGATCACAGAGAATTCAAAAAATAAGTTTTTATAAATGTTTTAGTTATATTTTGATTTTTAAAAAATCATTAAAGTGCCAAAAAAAGATATTTAAGTTGGAAAAGCAACTTAGACCATCAAATGTACTCAAAATGCTTTGCAATTTTTATGGAGAGTTCTCTGGATCTTATAAAATAGTGGAGATCAAAAATCAAGTCATTTTGTTGTTTATATTTTCCAAAATTAATTATCTTAGTGATTTAGTGTTTGTGAAAGTTAGGTGCATGTTGGCACTATTTTTGGTGTGGGGTTTGCCCG